ACTTTCAGCTTTTACATTTAAGGTTTTTTGAGTAATAAGTAATATAACAGCATTGAATGCTGTGTTGTGGTGATGTTGGAAAATCCTCTAACCTATATTGTCCCATGGGTTTCGTAAGAGGCACCAGAGAAAACTTGAAATAGGAGATGATTTTCCTGATTACAACCGAAAAATATAAAAAAACTACTGTTGCCAACCCGTCTATGAAGCGTGGAAACTACAAAGCAATCTGTAGGGGGAGGCCTAGATACTCGTACATCAGTTGATTCCTGATAAGTTGTTCTTCAAGCTTCAAAACGATTTGCAAACTATCACATAATTTCACATAAAATCATTTAATTTATTATACTGTTGCATAAAATTACTCTTTATTATCACATAAATAAATATATTTAATATTTATTTATAATAAAAAAAGACTATAACTAAAAACTTTAGATTTGCTTTTGAGCAAGAAAATAACCAGCGCTATTATCACTAGCATTGATGGCAAGTAGTAGATAGAATAAGCAAAATATTTGTTTAAAATACCTTTAGTCAGAATCTAACTATATTAATATGGTTGCAACTCAGTATTGTCAATAATATTACCAAAATATGATCCAATTAGAATTATGTGATGATAGTGTAAGTAAAATGTAGTAATAAACATAAAAATACAACATTACAACCATGTGGCAAAGATAAATAATCATTTTAGCAAATTGCAGATTCCGACAAATTCTGAATATAGTTAAAAGCATGTTGACGACATAAGCACAAGTGACTTTTATTGTAATTATCATCATCCACAACAACAAAACCTGTCAAACTAGATAAGTTACGTACTTTGCATTTTTCACGTGAATCTTAACAAATTAATTTTAATAACTTAAGCAGAACCAAATCAACTACCTATTTGTGTTTTGCACAAGTATTATTTACGATTTGTAATATAAGCGTCCTAGGACCTGTCACACAGTAAAACTGCCTAACCTTAGAAGTAAGACGTTAATCCCCTTGTACCTGACGAAAAGTGTATTTCATCTCACCAAAATACACTTTTTACTAACGCGGGCACCATCACCCTTTCTCATAAATATGAAAATATATCCCGAGAGAGGAATCCCGCCAAGTCCCTAAGAAAATCAGCAATCTATTTACAAGCTCCTTACCAGATTAAGTGTTGATCCTCACATTTCCAATAAAGAATAAATTACAAACCCCGTCACTTCTGTACTCAAAATAAAAAGGAAATGAAAAATTATTATAATGGTATTTTTACAGATATCATTATAATCGTTATCTTCATCATTACAACCTACTACAAATCCACTGCAAAATGCATCTCGCAAATCATAATGGTTTGGAGTCTCAGGTGCGATAACATCGAAGTTTAGTCGGTCCATTAGCTCGAACAATGCATTACCATTAAGATTGTTTGTAACCGAGTTCCAGGAGCTCTGCTTACTCTTCAGGTCCCCAACTACTATAACAATGGGGCCTAGGTTTAGTAATTCTAAAATATTTAACTCTATAATACGCTTTATTGGCGGTTGGTCTGTCGAAACGATGGTAAGTGGCGGATGGTCAGACAAAGCTACTTTGCATATTATAGAGACTTCTATGTTAGTTGACGGGGGAGTGCCGATCGGCACGCAGTGCAAGGGCATTTTGTAGTAGATTAAGCCTCTGAGGCTGGTCAACCTATCATTTCAAAACAAGGTGTGCATTGTAGCAACGCACCACCGGAACCTGCATAATAGATAAAGTAATTTATTGAAGAAAATGAGTACAATTATATAATAATAATAATATAATTACAAAGAAAACATAATACCGAATATGACACATAAAATTTCAAATACGAATATAAGAAGAGACTACATTTTCTTTCGAGAAATCGAAGGCGATGAGTTATTTAAAGAAAAAATAATATAGAAGATATTAAGAAACACAAGAATAATAAACTGTAGAAGAAGCTCTTGTAACATTGCTAATAAATCAGGATTGACAAGTTACAAGAAGCAAGATTCGAAGATACAGAAAACATATTAATAAAAAATCCTGCAACAAAAGAGTACCAATTTTATCAAAAATAAAAATTCAACCCTTCAAAATTCAACTTGCGTAAAAAATTTAGCACAATGACTACACTTTGCTCAAAAGCTTCTGCAAGACAATTCTGAAACAATATCGTACAATGAAAACAATCATTTGAAGTAATGATAGCTCATAATGATTTCTTAAATTTACGCGAACACTACACATTGAATAAAACTATTATTTACGGATTTTATCGCGTTTAATTACTTTAATTTATTTTTATTATTATCCCGACGTTTCGGGTGCTTTACAGCACCCATGGTCACGGGGGGGGACTGAGATGTTTGACGTCCCAATTTCATAGTTAGTCCGGCTACCTTCAGTTTTTTTAATATTAATTTTTGGTCCGATTTACGCAAAACGAGCTTATAGTATCATGAAGTCTTGCAGTGGTATGCTTGGGTTTGGGTTTAATTTTGTTAATTATAGGATCCCAAGCAGATGGTAGCACCCAACCATCTTCTCTATTGAAATTTGGTAGTTTTTAATTTCAATAGCCATCGCCCAAGTTGGTGAATCGATCTGACTCACCAACTTATAAGCTGGCACAATACTTATCAAAAATACTATCACCACTGAGAGGACATACCAGAGCACACACAAAGGATTCGTACCATTTTGTGAGTGAGATAAAAGACCTACATCTCGCTAACAATAAAACTATGGTCAGTTTTGATGTTCAGTCACTATTTACATGCCTACCTATTGTGGACTGCATCTCAATTGTAACTAGGAAGCTAGAAGAAAATAACATGCCTCAAGAATATGCAATACTACTTGAACATTGCCTCACATCTGGCTATTTATTGTGGAAGGAGGAGTTCTACAAGCAAGTAGATGGTGTGGCGATAGGCTCACCTGTGTCTCTCATAGTCGCCGAAATATTCATGGAGGACTTTGAGGAGAAAGCCCTTCTTACTGCTCCTGTAAATCCAAGGTTCTACAAGCGGTACGTAGACGACACTTTTACAATTTTACCATCTGACAAAGTAACTGCATTTTTAGACAACCTTAACTCCATAAACTCTAAAATACAATTCACAATGGAGTTAGAGACAAATAATTCTTTAGCCTTCCTAGATGTTTTAGTCATCCGAAATCCTGATAACACTATTGGTCACACTGTGTATAGGAAAAAGACCCATACCAACCGATATCTAAATGGTGAATCTCACCATCATCCTTCACAGTTAGCTATCGTGGGTAAATCTTTGTTTCAGATAGCACGAGGAATCTGTGACAGAAAACATCTGGCCGCGTAGCTTCAGCACGTCAAGCAAGTATTGCAAGACAACAAGCTTCGGGTCCCGCGCCTACGTCACAGTGAACGAGTGAAGCCGGCCACAGTCGAGCGCGCGCCTGCTCTACTACCATATGTCAGAGGAGTCACGGACAAGATTGGCTACATCTTGAAGCGAGCGTCCATTAAGACATACTACAAGCCGCTGAAGAAGATTAGTCAATTGTTACCATCCATCAAATGTAATATTCCACTACAAGATGCAGGTGGGTACAAGCTAGATTGTGAATGTGGTTTCTCTTACATAGTTCAAACAAAAATATCTATAAAAACCCGCGTGAAGGAACATATAGCTGATGTGAAGCACCGACGCTCCGGGAAGTCTGCAGTCTGCGAACATGTTCAAGATCGTCCTCACCATTACATTAGATTTGATAAACCACAAATTCTCGCAAAAGAACACCGATTACTACCAGGGATAATACGCGAGGCTATTGAAATTAAAAAACATCCAAATTTCAATAGAGAAGATGGTTGGGTACTACCATCTGCTTGGGATCCTATAATTAACAAAATTAAACCCAAACCCAAGCATACCACTGCAAGACTTCATGATACTATAAGCTCGTTTTGCTTAAATCGGACCAAAAATTAATATTAAAAAAACTGAAGGTAGCCGGACTAACTATGACATTGGGACGTCAAACATCTCAGTCCCCCCCGTGACCATGGGCGCTGTAAAGCACCCGAAACGTCGGGATAATAATAAAAATAAATTAAAGTAATTAAACGCGATAAAATCCGTAAATAATAGTTTTATTCAAAATGATGGCTCATTTTCTTTTACGGTTATTTTTTACGGTTTACTGTTACCGATACAGCCTATCAAAAATTCACTGCATAGGCATACATAGATCTCATTCATATATTGCTATCTCATACCAAGGATATTGCCATAGTTAGCACACTTGTCAGGGTTTTCAACCATAGTTTTTTTTTAAATTTCTAGTTAATATTAGGAAGATGCTGTTGCACATCTCCTGGTCTGATTCCCTATGTTGCCTCTTACGACACACGCGGGGTCATATAATGAGGTATTATATATTCTAACACCAGCACTACACAGTCATGTTTTATTATTAAATTAAACATCATAAAATATCTATCGTCCGTTTAAGGGATCACTTTCTGCCTTCTAAGGGATCTAATATTACGCTTACGTTAAAAAGGATCGGGGTTATTCAGCTAAGTATCATTTTATAAGGTTTTTTTTGTTTATTAACCTTTATGTACCGACGTGGTTTTTTTGTACCGCAAGCACCGATGTGGGGCCCGAGAGGCCGCATGCAAATAATCAGTTTTTTTAGAAATGGTTTATAATTTTGGTCAAATTTTAATTTATTTTGATAATATAGGTTTCTTAAATGAATGGAAGAAGTAAATTAATAATCTTATTTATTAAATTTAACATTAATAGGCCTTTTAATCTTTGGCTCCATTTTGTGACTACAATAGGACACTTAACGAAATAAAAATCTTAAAAAAAGAAATACCTCTTCGGAACTAGAATATCTTAACTTTTTTTTATACTTAAGGGATATGTCTATCAGAAAAAAAAATTATCTGGAATGCTCAAAATAAAAAAATGACAAACAGCAAAGTTACTTATTCGCAATCATGACACACTTGCTTGCCACACTGTAAACAAACGTGTTTTTTGCATGAGTAACATTGATATGTCGATTTTCTGTTGAGTTTTGGTGGGCAAGATGCACATATTTTTCTCGTTTTTTTCTTGACTCACTTGACCTTGAACTTTATCTGGCATATCAGCCCCGAGTATTCTAGCCAAACTCATGCGAAGTTCGCGAGGCAAGCGCAAGTTAAACACCCTTCTCTTTATGTGCTCTAATATGAGCTGATGAGCTAAATGTTTTACGAAAACACCCCGTTCAGTTTTTTTATTTAGATGCATATCATGTAAAATATGAGCATTTACAGAACTTATGTCCAAAATCCGGTAAAAAAGTGTCATAGGCCAGCGTCTCGATCGGCGACTACAAGTGTATATCGAACACTTTTTATCTATTTCGTCCACTCCTCCTTTTATGGAATTATAGAATTGTATAATTTCAGGTTTGCCTGAATCATTATCAATTCCTTCAGTGTGATGCATCGAGGAAGCTAATATCACGGCTTTGTTTTTCCTAGGTACATGGGAAATAAGCGTTATTTCTTTTGTAAAACCGTACAACGTTGAACCTTCTTGTCTAGATTTAGTCGGTAAAAAATCAGGAGGGATTTCTCCTTTTGTTTTCTTTACAGTGCCTACGCATGTAAGTCCTTTCTGTTTCAAAGAATTTACTAACTGAATAGAGGTAAACCAATTATCACATGTGATATTTTTGTTGCTGCCTTGTAATGTTCTCGTCAAACGTAGCACGGCTTGGGTGGGAACTAATAATTTCTTTTCTTCCTCTGTCAGGCTTTCTCCATCTGAACCTTTTCCACAATACACGTAACCATTGTAAAAATATCCATTTTCAGCATCACACAAACACATTACTTTTAGTCCATATTTTGCCGACTTACTGGGCATGTAAATCATCAAGAAAGACCGTCCCCTAAAAGGGACTAGCATTTCATCTACAGTGGCGTACTGGCTTATATTATACACTCTTTGGCAATTTGAGACAAATCGATCAAAAATAAAAGATATTGCCGCTAATTTGTCAGATTCTTTTCTTTGTTTCCTGTCGGCAGCATTATCAAAACGTAAGCAATGAAACAAACACAAAAACCTATTTTTTGACATTACACAGCGAAAAATCTCCCTTCCAGTGCCATCCGTAGCAAAAATAAAATCTGCGTCTTCGTGATTTGATTTGAAAACCGCTGTATACATCAAAAGCCCAATGAAAGCTAGCAGTTTAATAATGTCTATATCTTGCAACTCCGATCGATCTCGATTTCCAAATTTTGATCTATATTCCAATAATTTAAAATTAGTCCTAGTTACAATTTCTAATAACATATCATCTATATAATGTTTCCATATAGAAAAGGGATCCTTGCCTTCATTTTCTGTCAAGTTGGAAGTGGGTACTCGTAAAATAATGTTATGCTGTGGGATTCTAACTGACGAGCGGTTTGGAGGACTTCTTGACCACTTATATCTGTTTTTGCCTCTAAAAGAACTGAGCCTGGAAAGCGGTACGTTTTCGTCTTCCGACGAGGAACTGCGACTATTTTCTATCTGAATAAGAGGTTGCTGGGTTGAGGCCTCAGTATCAGATAAATCGGTATCAGTTTCTGTCTCGTGATCGCTAACTTCTGGGATAAAATCATCTCCGACGTCATCTATTTCTGATCCACTGGAATCTTCCGCAATCAGTTCCTCGATCAAAGCCTCACTATTTTTATCTAAAAGATTTATAGAGCGCCGAGATCTTTTAAATAGGCATTGTTCATTTGTAGATATTCGTTGTTTACTATTCGACATCCCCGGTGCATTCATTTTTTCGAATCAGCAGCTATTTATCTGAAAATAAGCATTGCAACTCAAAACACATATCGCACCTTTAAAGTAAAACCGTTACTAAACGAAAATTTTCATGAATTGAGTTATCAATGTCATCTATGTAAAATATACGTAAACTACAACATAAACTTGTCATTTTTGTAAAATATTGTATTTTACGCCACCTAGCGGTAAATTAAAGCGTTACTAAACCGAGTTATGATCGGCTCGCGAAATACAATATTGTGTCTATATCAGTAAGAACATGTTCGTAGAAGAGTGATAACGGAAGTTTAAAGTAACAGTGTTATTATTTGGATAAACACGGCTGTATGTCACAGAAAAGGTAAGTTGTTAATTTGTTTTAATAGGAAAAGTGTTTCAATTTGTTTAAACACAGTTTTTGTGTTATGAATTTACGCAATTCATAATAAAATTTCATTGATAAAATGTTACTGTTTGTATAGTCACAGTTTGCTTTTTTATTTTTTAGGTATTATTCCAATAACGTTTATCTATAAATAGTAACCATTTGTTTAGTTACAGTTTTACAATAAGTAAAGAGTAAATTAAATCATATCCTTATTTACAATAGTGGGACATTTATGTTAGTCACAGTTTATTTCTCTACGCAACGTAAGTTTGCATAAAAATTTTAGAAGTAAAATATTACATTTTGTTTAAATTCCATCTAGTATTAAAATTTACTTCATAGTTTATGAAACAGTTAATAATAACGTTACACATTTCTTTTAGTATCACTTTACTACGAATATAAATAAAAGTTGTACTTAAAGTAACTAAATTTATTTAAGTTAAAATGTCAATTATAATAATTATACGATAATAATAATAAAACCACTTGCTTCAGGTCATGGCGCATTTACGGAACCCACGTTTATCACGCATTTTGGAGGCTATGGAATCTAAGAAAGATTCCGTAAGTACTGAAAACCCCAAACTAATATCCATGGACGACCTGGATTATAATTTTTCACGCGATGCAAATCCGATTACTGTCGATACTTGTAGATCTCCTTCTTTATTACAAGAACAACCACTACCTCAGTCCGTTAGTCATACTATGGAAGCTGATGTTCAACCAGTTGATGACGGAATACCAAATCCATATTTGAGCGGTACTGGTTTTCAAGAATTAACTCCAGAAGAAGACCTTACCAGACCAGGTCCTAGCAGTAGAGCAAGATCCAATTCAACTAGCTCGAAATCATCTTCTAGTTCATCATCTTCAAGTTCATCATCAACAAGTTCATCTCATCTAGTGCGTCTGAATCGGGTAAGGACTTTTCCCTTGATGAGGCAGATTGTGATGCTGATTATGTACCAGCAACCCCACCTAGGCGTGTATTATTTAGCCCAACTCCTCAAAATAGTATCTCTGTACAACTAGTTGAAGAAAATAATTTGGGTCCTCCAAAACAAAACAGAACTCCGAACAAACGAAGGCGTAAAGGATTTCCAAAAGCATCCGTGAGGCGAGATGCTAAAATACTTCGTAATAGTGAGCAACAATATACTTCTGTGTCCCACTTAAAAAAAGTCATGCCAAAGAAGCAGATAGGACCCCCATGTGGGGAAAAATGTAGACTAAAGTGCAGCGAATTGATCAAACAGAAAGGCAGAGAAATTATTTTTGACAATTATTGGAAAATGGGAGATTTATCTAGACAAAGAGATTATATTGCAAAGTGTATTAATGTTATTACACCCAAGTATCAATATAAAGTACATAATAGCAATAGAGGACCTAAACATTCTTTTTCATTCGAGATTAACAATATTAAGCATCGTATCTGTAAAACATTCTTCAAGAACACGTTGGCCATTAATAATCGACCTATTGCAACTGTAATAGCAAAAAGGAACCAAGCGGGAACGATTGAAGAAGAAAAAAGGGGTAAACATGGAAAACAGTACAAAATTAGCTCAGATATAATTAAAGGAATAAAAAACCACATAGACTCAATCCCAAGAATTGAATCTCATTATGTAAGACAACAAACGACTCGTGAATTTATTGATGGGGGTAAAAACCTTACAGATCTTTATACTGACTACCAAACACAATGCTTGAGTGATGGTATTGAAGCTGCTAAAATTCATACATATAGAAAAGTGTTTAATGATGATTATAACATTGGCTTTCACACACCTAAAAAAGACCAGTGCGAACTATGCATTAGCTTTAAAAACGCTATTGATAAAACAATAGAATTACAAAACAGATACGACCAACACCAGCTTGAAAAAGAATTATGTCGCCAGGAAAAGTCAAATGACAAAACAATGGTTAAGGAAAACTACATTGTTGCCTGTTATGACCTCCAGGCAGTGTTGCCTCTTCCGAAAGGAGATGTTTCTACTTTATATTACAAGTGTAAGCTCAATGTTTGTAATTTTACTATAAGTGAATTAGCGAAAGACTATTGTGATTGTTTTGTCTGGAGCGAGGTCGAGGCATTAAGAGGAGCTAACGAAATAGCAACGTGTGTTTGGAAGTATTTGACAAAGATGGCATCAGAAATAAATGACAATAATTTACGAATCACATTTTATTCTGATAATTGCTGTGGTCAGCAAAAGAATAAGTTTATGTTTTGTATGTATTTATATGCCTTATCTGTTCTTAAAATTAAGTCTATTACGCACAAATATTTAATTAGTGGGCACACACAAAACGAAAACGATTCTGTTCACTCTGTGATAGAAAAAGCAGTTAAAAAGTGCTTACGTTCTGGTCCTTTGTACACACCAGATCAATACGTGACCATTATCAGAACTGCACGAAAGAAAGGCAATCCTTACAATGTTACCGAAATGTGCTATTCAGACTTTGTTGATATAAAAAATCTTACAGAGATATGCGGTGCTCAATTTTCAAAAAATACTGAAGGCGGAACAGTTAAAATGAGTGACATTAAAATAATGAAATTTGAAAAACATCAAGATTTCAACCATGTTGGCATTTATTATAAAACTTCCTACTCAGATACAGATTTCAAAGAAATACAATTCCGTAACAATCGTTCGTCTCGAACACGTACTAGCACTGATCTTCAAGATTTCCAGTTGAAGCCTTTATATCAGTCTAGATTAAAATTAAGTGATAGAAAAAACAGCGACCTAAAGAGTTTAATTAACAGTAATATAATACCACAGAGTTACGCATTGTCATATTACAACAGCATCTTGTTTTAGCAATACTAAAACGAGATGTTATTGTAATAAGACAACTTATTATTGATGATTATTGATTTAGAAAAACAATAAGTATAACATTATTTTTAAGTTTTTTACGAGATTAATTTTTTATATAACATTTTATATGGCAATAGGTTTGCCTCATTATTCTAAATATGTGATACCTACAAGTCAACATAACTTTGATTAGCCCTGAGTAGCTTTCGTGGATAGGGAAATAATGCTGTGATTGTAACTTTGTTAAATTAAGTAAAATACTATTTCCAATTGGTTTGTTCCTCGTCAAACTGATTGTAAATGTAATAAGATACATAACAAGTAGTTAATATAGTAAGATACGTACATGCTGTGATTTAAAGGTACAAATTTCTCAAGACTGATTGATAAATAACTATGCTAAATGATTGTATGGATCTCTCTTTAAATTATAATAAAACACTATTAATTTTGGAATGTTTTTTTTATTTGGTAATATTATAACACCACAGCAAATGCCAACTTTATGATTTTTAATTTAAATGTTAAATAATATTATTGTATTTATGAAATTTTAATAGTTTTCTATTTAGTAACATCAGGTGCACTGTAATTTCATAGTAATATACCATAATGAACAAATTATTAATGATAAAGTGTTACTATAATAATATAAATCAAAATAAATAATACTGTAAATGAAAAAAAACTACTTTCGTAAATCACGTGTCATAATGTAAACAGAGATCTATAATAAGACCTCATTAAATGTATTAAAGAACCCTACACTCAGATTTTATTGACAAAAAATGGTGACTTTTTTCTAATATTGGCTCTCCTGTAAAATTTTATAATTTCGTTTAGTAACGGTTTTACTTTAAAGGTGCGATATATACACATTCTAAATAGTGCTGTCATAACTGACAACAAAATATATCAGTAAGAATTTGTGACTAGAGTTTTCGAAATAAATTTTGTGAGGTATAACAATTAACTTTTAATAAAAAGTAAAATCCTACTTTAAAAATTAAATAAAATAAAATAATTTATTCAATAACTTTTTTTATCTCAAAAGACTTCGAAAGGTAATAAAATTCTTTTTAACTTTTGAACTATTTTTTATTAATAAATCTTAAATCAAAATTAATATTCGTGTGTTCGTATTTTATGCGATGCCATACCGTTAATCAGATTGCGGTAAGACTTTGTTAACTTATTGCTTACATTTGCGTGATGATTATAGACATAGTACAATTAACTTTGTAGGTGGCGCGGTACGAGAAGACGAATTAATTGCGTGTTATATATAATTCAATTTACGCCTACAATTTTTTTACAGTAACAAGGCCTCCAATTAAAAAAATGTCTTCCGAAAAAGAAAAGTAGGGTTCTCTAAATGGTTAAAACTCCATCCTTTATATTTAATTTAAGAAAAATAATTTTAATAGATGAGGCGTTACTTTGTGTAAATTTATTAAATTAAATATTTTTAAAATTAACCTCCATAGATAAAAATGTTGTGTTTTACCTGTGAGATACTCTTTGATCTCCTAACTAGGTACGACATATTTTAAGTTTTTACCTGTGAGGTGCTTTTTGCTTCGAAGTAGGTAAGAAAACGTCATTTTAGTTTTTTATGCAGTACTTAGTTTATTTATTTTAACACCTTTATGTCAAGAATAATGTCAAAACTTTCTTATTTTTTACAAACATTTTTAGATACTAATTTCTAAATGTATTTAAAGTTAAATTTATAATCAAACAAATTCTTAATTAAATAACTTATTGACCAAAGTAAAGTTTTTGACTGACGACACTGTAAATTATTACGAAAACTTTTGTTATGTTTTTTTACAAGTTAAACACAATTGTAGGTTTCAGCACAAAATATATATATATATTTTTTTTTTATAGAATAGGGTGACAAACGAGCACACAGTCCACCTGATGGTAAGTGGTTGCTGCGGCCCATAGACATCTACATCTATCCTCCATTAAAAATCAAAATGCAGATGCGTTGTCACCCGTGAGGACTGAGATGGAATGCCTCGTTTCCAGTAAAAAGGGTCTCCGGTTCTCTACACTCACCATACGAAATACAGCAGCATTAAGCTACTATTTCACGCAGGTATTCTGTGAGAGCGTGGTCCTTCCCCGGTCGAGCCGACCCATTCGTGCTACAACTATACTACTAATATAACTGCAGCATGGCTCTACCACGTATAAAATTTACATACGGTATTTACATACGGTAGATCATCGACAGCCTTTTCTTAGTTTTTCTGAATATATGAGCTTTATATTATTCGCCATTACTTTCGACAAATAATTTGCATCATCCTCTTACTGTTATTGCAACAAGCAGTTATCCTCTATTGCATTTGCCGTTGCAACATATTCAAGTCTACTGAGAAACATAAGCCGCTCCCAAATATTGATTTTAAGTGAACTTGATTATGAATTCTGATGTTTTATACATGCATGAGTACTGAACTGTGTATAATTGGTTCGCTATTATAATGACGGTACACTCAAACGACATACAAGACTTTATCATTATAAAATAGGAGGTAAGTTATTTAATTAAAATAAAATAATTTGGCTTAAACTATGCTGTTACTTTTGAAACCATTTATTTACAATGTAATATACTATATTACATTGTAAATAAATTATTTCAAAAGTAAGCCCCGATGGGTTCTTCCGAGTCCAAACGTTATTTTTTCCGAACCTGTCTGTATTTCTGTATTGTTTGTTGTGTTGGTGGACGTCTATATATAACGTTATTTTTCTCTCACATAGATTTTATATTGGATAAAACAATCTATGTGGAAGGACTTAGGGTATATATACATGGTATATCGTAGACGACCTACAATATAGAAATACAGATAGGTTTGAAAAAAATAAGTTTGTGGGGGAATAATTTGCAGTAACTGCCACGCTTATCGGATGGGATTATTTTTTGAGTTCTTATCAGAAATATACTGCTGCCCATTTTCTAATTCAGTTTTCATCCGTCGTCTTTTACGACTCCCACGAGACGATATAGTAGTAGATTCCTTTACACTGCCACTACTACGCTAGGCTACCGTTGTTCATATTTATTTGTTTGCCGAATATTTCAGCATTTGGTAGCAGAGCGTGGTTGATTGTTTTGCAATCACTCCTGGCCGTAATACAATATAATTTTTATGTTTGTTAGCGTATCGGTGGATAGAACCACGCATTCTGGTAGCAGAGATTGGTTGATTGTTTTTGCAATCACTCCCGGCCATCATACAATAGAAATTTTTTTGTTTGTTAGCTTATCGGTGGATAGAACCACGCATTCTGGTAGCAGATCGTGATTGATTGTTTTTGCAATCACTCCAGTCTGTAATACAATATAATTTTTTGTTTGTTAGCGTGTCGGTGGATAAAACCACGCATTATGGTAGCAAAGAGTGGTTGATTATTTCGACAATCACTCCCGGCCGTAATACGTAATAACAATTTTTTTTTGTTTTGTTCGCTTGTTGTTAGTTCGCGGGTCCATATAATTTAGAGCCACGCCCGTTAAATGGCATAAGCGGAGTGTTTAGAGTTAGGTACCTACGCGTCAGGTATTTGTATTTAGTATTTGCATTCGTATTGTAATTGACGAAATGTCAGTCGCCTCAGCTTGGCATCTTGTTGACCGACTGTAGTGAGTACTTGCGTGTAGTAATTGTGTTTAATTTAATTAATAGTAATTGTAGTAATTAAATTAATTGTGTAGTGTAATTTGTATTTAATTTTATAAATAGTAATTTATATTTGTAGTAATTTGTATTGAATTTAATTTGGTGGTAATTGTATTGAGTAGTGATGCCATCGCACAAGCCACCGGCGCTTCGCTTGCAGGTGGAGCTGAGCTGGGCTGCGAACGCCCACAGCTTGATAAGGCGACCCGATCGGGTCCATAGTTTAGAGAAGCGGCTCGAGCAGGTCATGGCCCGAAGGACCTTAGTGGAGGAAGCTTGTACCGAGCTTATGGCCTCGGCAGCGGAACAGGGAGTCCTAGACTCCTGCTTTGCGGACTAAGAGCAATTTTTTTCGCTCAGGGACGACTTGATCGAGGCGGGGGCCAAGTATTCTGGTGACCCGCGTGAAGCTCGGCTGAGTGGCCTGTTCGAGTCCCTTCGGAAACAGCCTACTCAGCCGGAGCTGTTGGGATGACTCCCACCCAACTCTGGACCTGCCAAGGTTCACCGGGGTCCTCTCCGAATGGCTGACCTTTGTGGGACTGTTTCATAGCCTAGTGGACGCCCGGAGGGAATTGACACCAAGCCAGAAGATGGCTTACCTCCTGGCATCACTGGAGGGGGAGGCCCTGGGTGTCGTTGGCCATCTGAAATTGTCGCACGACGCCTACCAGACCGCCCTCATCCCCCACGGGCGGGGGCGTTCAGCCACGCACTCTGTCGGGCGACGCTCGGCGCTCCCCTGCCAACCACCGTGGCTCTGGATTTGGAGGGGTCCCTCCTCCGACCGTTCGGTGGTCATTCCCCCAGGGGCGGGGGGTCATAACCCCCCTTAGCGTGTGGAGAGGAAATTCACAGCCTTTTAGCGGTCAGCGAGACCCTTCTCACCCCCCGTTGGCTGAGAGGCCGCGACTGGAGTACCACCCTCCCCCCTTTGATCGGTACCGGTACTACGGGGTTCCTGCAACCTCGAATTTGTCCCGGGCCTCAAGGCCGAGGTTCCCCGAAGCTCCCCAGGTCAGTCCGTTCAGTGAATTCCAACAACCAGTCATTGAGAAGCCGCCGGAATGCCGCTTTCGCGACCCCCGGTTCGAGTGCCGGTCCAATGGAGGCCGCTACAGCTAGGTAGCGGCCGCCCTAGCTCCCACCACGGCCGCCTCCACTGATCTTTTGAGTCGTAAACAGTCCACTTGTCAAACTGTTTTATTGCCGACGGCCTCAGTGAAGGCGTACAACCCGAGTGAAGACTCTTTGTCTGTTCGCGCTCTATTGGATTCGCGTTCAAACTCGGTGTGG